GTGAAATGACTGAGATGATAGGACCACCACCGAAGCTTTCCCCTTCACCAAGCACATGCTGTCTGAGTGAGGCCCCATTAACCAAGAAGGTACCTTTGATGCTGAAGACACAGTGCAGTGAAGGGCTGGGACTTTTCAGCTCTCCACCATCATTTTCCAAACATACCCAAGCTCCCAGTGGATCCCTTTATAAAGTGGAAAGCTCCACCTGGATGGACTTCAAGCTTAATGAGTCATGAGAAACACTTGGAAGCTTTCACTTTCAATAGGATTCAGGTGATGGAGTAGGGGAGAAAGAGCAAGGAGAAAAGCTGCAGTTGAGGATCTGGTCCCTGGAAAGCCCAGCCACGATTCAGAGTTAAGGTTGAGCAGAAGATTTCATGGTCATCTGCTGCCATCTAGTGTCATACAGACATCCAAAAGTCCTGCCTGGATTCACGAATTTCACAGAATCCCAGAATGGTGGGGTTGGAAGGGACCTCAGGAGATCATCCAGTCCAACCCCCCTGACAAAGCAGGTTCCCTACACCAGGTTGCAAAGGAAAGTGTCCAGGTGGGTTAGGAACATCTCCAGAGATGGAGACTCCACACCCTCTCTGGGCAGCCTGTCCCAGGGCTCTGTCACCCAGACCACTAATTCTCTAACCAGTCCTCAAATCCTGCCTGTCCCATGGGCCACAGGCCATGCCTTACATTTGTAGGTGCGTCAGGATGGACATCATCCATCTGCACTCCCTGTGACCATCTCAGGTTAGACAGAGCCAGCACACAGACCATTGTGGACCATCCCTAAATTACAACCCACTTGAACCTCTGCTCCCAGTGGGGAGAGGTCTTACAGCTTAAGGGCAGAGGAGCTTGGTTGGTCTGGACATGTGGACTGGGAGGACCATTCTCAGCTCTACTGCTCTTATCTGGGGAAAAGGGATGTGATGGGTCATTCTGCACCTTGGCACAGCCAGTCCACCTCAAGAAAAATCTCAAGGACACATCTCAGGTAGAGAAAGGGTCTTTGAGAAGAGTGAAAACATGGTTGTTGAGTACTTACCATGCTGGGGCTGTGCACATCTTCATGAGGTCCCTCAGATCAGAGATGGGGGTTTCTATCAATTCTTTTCTAGCCTGAATAGCTCAAATTTAGCCCTTGAACATGCATGTCCTGGCTCTTCACTGGTGGTGAAGCTTGGGTAGCTGTAGAGGGTGAACTCCTCATCTCACCCCACTGGTGACAGGAGGAGATGAAGAGGAGTGTGATGGCCAGGTAGGTGACTTTAATGGGCAAGAATCCAAGACCGGGGACATTGCATTAGCTTGATATGATCCTTCAACTGCTGGCCCCAGAGGTGTTTTTAGACTGCAGAGCTGTCATCCCTCACTTTGCCGTTAAGCCAAATGGTCTGACTCATTGAGAAAAGTTTTTCCAACCACTCCATCACTGCAGCAACTTCTCCAAACCCTCTTCAACTCTTTAACCTTCTGCTAACGCCTATACTGGACAGTAGGAGGAAGGTCATTCACAGGTAGGGAGCAGTTTCCCCTCTCCAGGAGCTCTGTAGGCTCTTCCTCAAGTCTGACCATGTCTTTGGGACATCACTGAAAAGAATGTGACCCTGGGAAGGGTTAGGAACTGGTTCATTATTCCCTCCTCTGGAGGTCATCTGAGGATGATCTCAAAAGGTCCCTTTCAAACTTAATGATTCTGTGCCTTGTTATCAGAGTAAAATGGATCCTACATCCACCAACCAAGAAAGATATGGAGGGACCAGAAATGCTTCAGGGAAGACCTATGTGCATAGAATCATAGAATGGTTTGGGGTGGAAGGGACCTTAAAGATCATCCAGTTCCAACCCCCCTGCCATCAGCAGCGACACCTTCCACTAGACCAGGTTGCTCAAAGCCTCATCCAACCTGGCCTTCAACACTGCCAGGGAGGGGGCATCCACAACTTCCTTGGGCAACCTGTTCCAGTGTCTGACCACCCTCACAGTGAAGAACTTCTTCCTAATATCTCATCTAAACCTCCCCTCTTTCAGCTTAAACCCATTTCCCCTTGTTTTGGCATTAACTGCCCTTATGAAAAGTCCTTCCCCAGCTTTCTTGTAACCCCTTCAGATACTGGGAGGCCACTAGAAGGTCTCCCTGGAGCCTTCTCTTCTCCAGGCTGAACAGCCTGGAAAAGACATGACCATACTGGAAAACAGCATGACCAAAGACTTCAAAACAAAGTCTGATGGTAAGAGAATAAGGACAGTTTCAATTAAGATGGTCTTACCCACAACCTGAAACTAGCAGCCCATTTTGTAACACTGGGGATAATGACACACCAGAAGAGTTTCCAGAGGGTTGCCCCTGAGCCTACATCATGAACAACCTTTACATTGGTTGGACACAACTCAAAAGGATTTGTCCTAGGTCAGATGGGATCTACCCCAGGGTAATTGATATATCACACACAGTTGGACCCAAAGATCCCAGGTTTAAGGGCTAACAGAAGAGTTTCCAGGGATGTCTCTTTGCCCTGGTGTGGTGGGAGACCCAGAGCCCTTGGTGTCTAAAGATTCAGGGAACTTCTGAGCAAGAAAAGAGCCAGAGGAGCCAAGAGACTGTACAAAGCCTTTGATTTCATTTCAGACCCTGACAGAGCCGCATGTCAAGTCATAAGAAAGTGGCACGGTATAGTACTGTGCGGGTCAACAGCACCTTTCATCTGAGGATTGTAAAGCCCTTTCAAGACATCAGTTTGTTAAACCTCACAACACCCCTGTGAGGTAGGTATTACCCCCCATTTTACAGATGGGGAAACTGAGGCACAGAGAAATGCAATGGCTTGGCCAAGGCCTTTGGGCAAGCCAATGGCACAGGCAGGAGGTCTTCCTGCTCTTGTTCCCGGCTTGTGGTTCCTTCCTCCTTTGGACAGTAGAGTGTTGGCAGCTCACAGAGCTACTGCTGGACTTGCCCCATGAGCAGGGAACATGCAGTGTTTATGGGGGGGCTCCTGAGCCCCTTGAAAGCACCTTGGTAACCAGCTGCCACCAGCACTGTAGACATTGAACCATTTCCCAGACAGTTTCTCCTTCCAGGTATGGCCCCAGGATTGTCACTGGTTTTTTTATCTTGTGCAATCACGCAGGAGGCCAGGAGGAACTTGAGAACTTGGATCCTTCATGAAAATATCCCAGTACTGTATGGCATGGCCCAAACTGGAAATCACTTTTCTCTGATGGCAAACGTCTCCCCGGAGACAATGCTCAGCATTGAACTCTGGTGGCAGTGAGTGGTGAGGGAGTCTCACCAGGCCTGGAGGAGAAGGAGGAGGTAGCTAGAAGGATATTACACGGCTTTTGCTGCCACTGTCATCAGCATCTTTCATCAGTGTTGGATGTTCACTTGACCACAGGTCACCCCATCCCAGCCCATGTGCAACGTCAAGAAGAAACTAAAGCTAAGGGATAAATCGTCCAGGAAGTGATGTCAGGAGCTGTGGTGGAATCTCCATCATGGTAACTCCACCACCAACCCACCTCAACCCTTAGTGACATCATGGTACCAATTTCCCTTCTCCTCCCCCCACCACTACAGTTTTTGTGCTGAACACATATTCTGTCTTATAAAAATAGTCCTCTGGTATCAAAAGACAAATAAAACAAGAGAGGAATAAAAGACCCCTGTGGCCAGCAGCAGTGCAAATCAGGAGAGCCAGCTCAGGAAGGATGGGCTTAAGGTGTCCTTGGTTTGTCATTTCTTCAAGGGGAAGGAGGTTGATTGAACTTTGATGGCTGGAACTGGCCTAGAGTGAGAAGAAAGAGAAAGGAGACAACTCATTCCAGTGCAGAGACCAAGTATCCACCACCTCCACTACAACCATCCTTCCACATCTTAGGAGGGGGAAAACTAGCTGCTGTCCCTGAGACCAGAGGGAACCTGGAGTGTCATGGTCACCCATATCCTCTGTCAAAGATACAACCCAATTGTATCATTCTGAGGTGTTTTCTTTCAGCATAACCTCAAAACCCTGATAGGACACAGAGTCCACCAAAGCATATGGTGGCACCAGGCAGTAACCAGCAGTGAGAACTGGTTGCACCAGCTGCAGGAATCATGTCCCCCAAGGGGTTACTGCTCTTGGCTTCCCAAGAACAGCCAAGGTGGTTCATGTACTACCAAAAGGCATCACCAAATCAACCAACCCCATATGGACTCTAGAGTCTATCCTGGGAATTCATAGGAACTTTCACCCCATCCATCCAGGAAAGACAACACTTCCCTGGCATGTTGGCTGTGTCAAGTAATGAGCCAGACCAGGACATGGGCACGTCCTGCTCCCTGGCACAAGTCTGGCCCTGCCAGTCAACACTTTCTGACATGGGCAGAAGATGAACAGGGACTGCTCCTGGAGGGCAGCAAGGACAAAACCACATTGTTTGGGGAGGGAGCCAAGTTTGGCTGCTGGGATGTGCCACATCTTTCTCTTTTGGGACCACAGAAAGGTCCCTCTTATCTATGAGAAGAGATGAGCCGTAGGGATTGAGTTACACCAAAAAATTCTGTGGCATATTCAACCTCCTTGTAGTGGCAGCTACAAAGACAGGAACCTAAAATGGTCCAAGAAGGTCAAAGCAGTAATTAGCAAAGCAGATCATCTGGTGATGAGGGCTAACTTCAGTCCAGCATGGTGCCTTCTCTCCATGGTTGGATATGGCCAACAAGCCTGGCTAGCAGGAGTGGATGCAAGTATGATCTCCTGAGGTTCTACTAACCTATTTCCAGAGGATTTAGCAACACAGCAAGAGCTGAAAGTAGTAGGGACATTGTAAAGGACTTGGATTGAAGTCCTCCCAACTCCCAACTCCAAAGTGGAAAGCCCATGTCCTCCATTGCCTTGGACACAGGTACCAAATCCCTCCTATGGTTTGGGTACCCAGACTATGTCCTGCTCATCTAAGAGCCACTGGGAAGGGGGACATTTAATCCTCAGTCTCCTGGGTCCTAGCCCACTGCTTAACCAATGGACATGTCCCAACAAGCAGCAAAGACCATCCCCCCATGCTCCCCTGCATGGTGTCTGTGACTCACCTTTGAGGTGGCATCGGTCTGTAGAGAGGAAAGACAAAACAGAGCATCAGTGTCCATCCCTTCACTTCACTGTCCCCCAGCAGCTCACCAACAGCCCCCTCCATGCTCTGGGACAAGAGGCCATATGCACCCACCGAAGGATGGCATCTCCCTTAACCTGTTAGGAACCTATAAGACCCAAAGTCCCAACCTTGGTCACCACTGGCCAACTTTGGCCAAAATCTGAGGGGTCCTGCCAGGAAGAAGCATGGCTGCAGACCCCAGACACCCACAGGTATCTTGCTCTGGTGGGCAGCCCTTCTCTTGCACCACACAAGAGGGACCATCAGCACAGGGTTTGTTATGTATTTAGGGTTCCCATCAGGACAAACACTGGTTGTGGTTGCTCCTCAGGTAGGAGGATTAGGGACATCTTCTGATTTCCTTTCTACCTGTTGCTGCTGCCCCCAGATGCCCCGTACCAATGATCCCCTATGCCCTACAGACCAGTTACCTCAAAGTTGGTGGGCTTCAAACTCCTCTGTACCTACAGCAGTGGGTACAGACCCACATATCCCAGAGCATTTCTCCTGCTCCTCAGCAGCCTGGCCTGTACACATCAGCCATATCAGGGAGGAGCAGCAGAAACCCAAGTCATGGTGAAGACACCACAAGGGGCAGATCAGATCACACCACAGTGATGTTTGGGATCTCCCACCCAGACATGACCCACAAGACCCCACACTGTGTCCAACTGCAGGACCCCAGCAGTGGTGGGCAGTAGCTCAACTCCTCTCTCAGCTTACTTTAATGGCCTCGTGGGGTGGCTCGTGGCACTTATACTCGATGCCTTGAAGTTGGTAGGAGGGACCATGACCAGCAGGGTCTGTCCATGTGCAGGGGGCAGCTCTTTGGCCAGAAGAGGACCTCCAGGCAGTGGGCGACGTGGGGGCTGATGCTTCTGGACAACCTGGGATCACAAAGCATATGAGGAGAGACATCTTTCTTAGAGGAGCATCCAACAACCTCCTACAAACCTTTCTCTCCTGCTGCAGAGTTGAGATGCTTCAAAGCATGTAACACCACCACCCAAACTACCTTAAAATGTTCTCATTATCTAATGAGCTTTCTTCAGCCATTGCAACAGATTCATCTTGCAGGGTGGCATGAGAGCTCCTTAATAGTGCCCAACCCAAAAGAGTCACAGGCAACCAAAAACCAGGGAATTTCTATCAGTCTGGAAGGAAAGCCCAGCTCACCAGTGGGGTCCTCACAGGGCTGCTTGGAAGAGGTTTCTTTGGAGGTGGCAACTTAGCCTGGGAGACAACAGTTTTGGTGGGGACCACGGGCATCTTGCTGACTGGTGGAGGTGGCCTGGCAGGCTTGGGTTCTCTTGGGCGTGGAGGGATGGAATGGGGAGCTGGACGAAGAGGGTGGACAACATTGACGGGCTGAGAGCCAGGGTGGTGAGCACTGGGTTTGGAGGGGAACGCAGCCCGCGTTGCCTGCAGGGATGAGAAAAGCAGAAATATGGAGAAAACCCTCAGGTGTGTTTTTCTGGGTGCTAAAAAGCAGATGTCCCCTCAAGGTCTGGGTGCTAGGGAGCTGCAAGAGGAGCACTGGGTATTTATTCCACTTTCTGGGACCCATCCCACCCAAAAGCTGAACACGTTTGCTCCTCATTAACTACATGAGAGCACAGAGGGATGAGAAAGGTTCTGGGCTCAGGAGATGTGGACCAGGGCCAGATCTGGTGAATCCATACCAGATTTCCACCAGATTGCATTACAGAGATGGGAGACATCATCCCTTCTGCCTTGATCTTAGCCACTGTGGTCATGCTTAAAAAGACCACCGTTTTCCACCTAAATTCAGCCCTGGGCTTACTCATTGCAAGGTCACCAGAACTGACACAACCAGCAGTAGAAGCATCTGCCTCCCTGGTGACCCAGCACAAAGTCATCAGTAGGATTGCAGAACCCCTGCTAAGCTTTGCCATGATGATGGACAATTTGCCAGTGAAGGTTCCTGGTAATCACTAGGGTCTTTTGGAGCATGTAGAGCTCAAGAGATTCATTTTTAGGAGTGATGTGTACAACTGACCAAGGGCTCACAGTGTAGACACAATGCAAAACCAGCACGGAGGACCAGTTGCTTGTCCAGTTGCTAAAGAGAGATGTGATCACCCACAAGGATGATGTCCCAGGGAGGACCAACCTGGAAGGAGAGTTTTCACTTACTTTATGAGTGTGGTTGGAGGTGGAAATATTCCGCAAGGTGAAAGCAGCTTTGGGATGGCCACCAGTTGACTTCAGACTGATGGTTTTGTTCCTGTCCAGGATCAAAAACATAAATGACAGATGGTAAAATAAAGCAACTGTTTTTGCAACAGTCACCTCCCTGCACGTCAGCGAGGTCCTGTCTCCACTAATAGATTGTTAACAGACAGTCCTGCAGTGCTGGGTGAGCAGGGATGACAGGTCTGTCTGGAGATAATTAAGTTAATGAAGTAGGTTGGTTGGTTCTGGGGGGTTTTTTTCTTCTCAAATTGTTGCAGGGACTCTGGGACATGTGTGTGTCTGTACCTGTACTGAGAGGGGAAATAATATCTAAATTCAGTGCTACTTCAGAGCCTTTCCAGCTCTTGTAGCCTGCCAGGAGCAGGTGGCCAGAAAGATCCTCAGTACCAGACCACCTTCATCATCACTCTCTGGTGATGATGAAGCTGGCTCTCCAGCACAGAGCCACCAAGATGATGAAGGGAGTGGAGCATCTCCCTGCTGAGGAAAGGCTGAGGGAGCTGGGGCTCTTTAGCTTGGAGAAGAGGAGACTGAGGGGAGACCTCATTAATGTTTATAAATATGTTAAGGGCGAATGTCATGAGGATGGAGCCAGGCTCTTCTCAGTGATGCCCAATGGTAGGACAAGGGGTAATGGGTGTGAGCTGGAACACAGGAGGTTCTGCTTAAACTTGAGAAGGAACTTCTTTACAGTGAGGGTGACGGAGCCCTGGGACAGGCTGCCCAGGGAGGGTGTGGAGTCTCCTTCTCTGGAGACATTCAAGCCCCGCCTGGACACCTTCCTGTGTGATCTCATTTAGGTTCCTGCTCTGGCAGGGGGATTGGACTGGATGATCTTTGGAGGGCCCTTCCAATCCCTAACATTCTGTGATTCTGTGATTCTGGTGTTGGCCTGTCCCACAGACCATTCCTGTCCTCAGCTCAGGGGAGAGCTGAGAGCTTCAGATTGTCCCATGAGAGAGCTCTTCTTATCTCAATCAGGTCTCATACCAGTTTGAAGCAGTCCCTATGCACCACCAACTCCCTCACAACCATTCCTACCAGGCTAGATGCTGCCAGTGTCAAGAAAACATTTCAGGATCTCACTAGGTCCTCAAGACAGAAGGGATTTAGGACACATCACCCACCTATATGTCTCCTGGCTCCTCCTCCTCATCTCCTTTATCCATTTATTCAGGAGTGAGTTCTCCCGCCGGTACCAAAAGTAGATGCTCATCATCAGGGCCGGGAGGAAGAGCAGGAAGATGAGCAGAAGGGTTACTAAGATGGCTTCATGATCTAGCAGGGAAAGCATTAAGATGAGTGTGGGGTTGGGAGAGCCAGCAGCCTCCAACTCCATTCAGTGCAAATGTTGGTCCTGTCTGCTCATTCCTGGCCACCCAGGTTAGAGACATCATTGCTGATCATACCTCCAAAAAGGGAGCAGTACCAGCTGGTGGCCCCTGATAAAAATGGGTGGCCACCAAGCAAGTAGAGCTGGGGACAGGCTGTGAGTTTGCCTGAACAGACCAAACCCAACACATTTGGGAGCAGAGCTCTTAGCAGCTTTATCACCCCATCCCTCCCTCTCATGGCATCACTCCAGCCCCACCAACATCACAAGGCACTGGACCAGAAGTCGTGACTCACTGTCGCGCTGCACAGGGCCACTGTCCACGCTGCCACCCAAACCCGGCTTCTCGCAGTACGGGGGAGCCCAGCCAGCATCACAGTGGCAGTTCTTGTTGCTGTTGCAGACCTGCAGAGAGAGAAGGAGGGTTGGAGATCACAAGGGACGTATGGAAATTATGGTCTGTATGGTGGAGATGAGGGCAGACAGCCAGTGGCAGGAGTCAGGGCTGAAGGAGCTTAACCCCGGCCAATGTTCACCACTTGTACATCATTTTTCAAATTTCTTCACCAAAAGGGTTATCAAGCATTGGAACAAGCTGCCCGGGGAAGTGGTGGAGTCTCCATCCCTGGAGGCATTTAAAAGACATGTAGATGTGATGCTTAGGGACATGGGTTAGAGGTGGACTTGACAGCATTAACTTTTTGGTTGGACTCAATGATCTTAAAAGTCTTTTCCAACCAAAACAATTCTATTTCCCTGCTCTTTGCAGAAATCTTGAAGACAGGTCTCTCATACCCTCAGTTTTCACACCATTTGACAAAAGCCTGATGTCCTTCATACCTCACATTAGGCCAGAAGTTTGTTGAACATCTTCCCCTTGAGATCTTCTCATTAAACCATTGTTGTTGCCTTATCTGACAAAGCCCTGCGTTCTTCAGAGGTCAAATCTTTGTAGTCTTGAAGATTTGGACATGAGTGGCTCTTTCTATTCACTGAACTATTGTCCTGCCTTTTTGGAGTCCCAGTTGTGTTTCTGACTCTTGCTTTGCTCTCAGAAGCAAAACAGGCATCTGCTCTGAGCTCTAAACACTCTCCAGTTCAAACTGGACCCTGATCCAAATTTTGCACATGGTCCTTACATCACGAGTGATCTTCTTCCTCTAACTTGGACACGGGTAAGCAAAGACCTCAGCTCAGTCTCACCCATAGCTGATGTAATGAAAAGCAGATGCCCACAGTGTTGCAAGGCTCATCCCCATAGGAGACACTTGGTTTTGGTCCAAGAATCTGTGCTCATCTCAGGAGCCTTCTGTAGGTCTCAGGCAATAACTCACCCCATGGCCATTGCACCGGGAAACACACTTTTCCAGCTCAAAAAGGGAGGCATTCTGGCACCGGCGATCTTTACAAACCTGAGAGAGAACCAAGAAGTCAAGGTTAGAGAAAGGCCCAAGAGAAGGGGGGCAGTGATCTTCTGGTTTCACAGTTGGGAGTCCTCTGGAAGGATGTTGTCCATTGGAAAATGCGGGTTGGTTAAATCGTATTGTTTCAGGTCAATGCATTTCACTCCAAGTTTCAGCACAACCCAGGAAACCTCTGCCATTCCTCCATCCAGAACAGCTCAGTGGAGACCAGCCACCACCACTCCCACCCCCAATTCCCTGACAAGCCACCTGACAACTCCTGGAGAAGGCATTTCCCATCTGGCTTTAAAATGTAGACACCAGCCAAAAAAAACAACAGTGGATTTCAAAACCAGCCATCCTTTCTCATGAAAATGTCAACATTTTGGGCTTCCATCCCAAAGTGGGATGAAAATTTCTCAATTAAAATGGCAAATAGCAGAGGCCACATCTCCCCAACCAGCTCTTGTCTGGCACGTAGCCCCGCTACCGTGTTGTCTACCAGGTTCTGCCCTCTCTCAACTGAACTGACCCTCTGTAATGTACTTGGAGATACAGGAGCTGTAAAAAAAAGTACTGCTCAATTAGCAGCATCTGTTTGGATCTGTCATCTTGGTTCCTGACACAGTTTCCCCCCCAGTTTATTCATAGGAGGAAGCCTCATCCATCAAGTTCTGGAGCACACAACTCTTGTTGGGGTTGCTCTACTATGCATTGAATCAGGAAAACAGCATGGAGGCCAAGGAGAAAAGGGTTTGATGGCCTACACACAAGCATCTGGTGATGTCTAGAAATGGCCCAGTTGAGATATCATCAGGGCAATGTCTAACAAGCATGGGGGAAACCACGTCCCATGGCCTGGCTGTAATATAGATAAGAGACAATGTCTACGTTGGAGCTGGGACAAAGCCAAGGAGCTGATCTCCTGTAGGAAACCCCAGCCCTAGAAAGAGGTACTCACCATCCCATCTCCACATTTTGTCCCCGTCATCACCAGCCCAGGGTCAGAGAGGTCTTCCTCGTCATCCTTCGCCGTGTACATGTAGGTGCCTCGGCACTTCACCTCCCGTCCGTTGAAGCGGATGGTGGTGTCAATGGAGACGGTGTTGGTCCCCTGAGGCTTCTTAGCTGAGCTCTGGCACTGGATCTTGCCACACATCGCGTCCCTAGGAGCAGGACACAGTTGAGGTGAGGGCAGGAGATGTAGCTACCAGCCATCTCACTCTCTCTGCCCCATCACACCCTGCCCCACTGATTGCTGGTTCACCTCCCTCTGAATTTATGGCCATGTTGGGTTGTGATGGGAGAGGTTCAGAAAGGGCTTAGATAAATCATGGACAGCACAGAGAAATGCTGGAGGGAACAGGTGAGGTGATGCCTCTTAACATCCTTGGTCTAACTGGGAATAGTGGAGACTATTCCAGGTTGGATGAGGCTTTGAGCAACCTGGTCTAGTGGAAGGTGTCCCTGCTGATGGCAGGGGGGTTGGAACTGGATGATCTTGAAGGTCCCTTCCAATCCAAACCATTCTGTGACTCTATGGTTCTATGAGACCACTATTCTATGCTTCCTAAATAGCATCTCCTGTTGATGATGTCTTTGATTTTCCCTTCAGGCTGGGCTGAGAGGTGACATTTGGTGGGACAAGCTCTGAGCAGTGATGGGGAATGAGCCCTGGAAGGACGTGGTGGCTTCCTCAGGTCCAAAATGGAGCTGGCCCAAGGGGTGATGCCAGGATGTTGGGGTAGGACTCTTCCAGTCCCTTCACTGGGATGGGTGGGGGATGGCTATGGGTGCAAGGGGAGGAGATGGGGCATCCATGGGTGTCAGCACTGCACCCACCTCTTGTCACATTTCACATAACGCCCTTGGCTGTCTTTACCACAGTTGCCGTAGGTGTTGCCGGCCATGTTCACGTCCTGGAAACAGGCATCTGGGGCTGGCCAGGCACCTGCAGGGAGGGAGGAAAAGTCCCATGTGGGATGGGGAAAGGAGCCAGAAGGCAGAAATACCCAAACCAGAAGCAGCGGCTGGATGCTCATGGAGATACCACTACCACTGGATGCTCATGGAGATAACATCACTGGATGTTCATGGAGATAACAACACCACTGAATGCTCATGGAGATAACATCACTGGATGCTCATGGACATAACACCATGGAGCAGTCTCCCAGGGAGCTGCTGCTGTGGGTGCCAGGCCAGGACTGGCACAAGAGGGGTGAAATGAATGGGGATCTGATCAATGTCTGTAAAGATCTGA